GAACTCTGAAATATTCAAACTGATTCAATAAAGATGATGAAACGACTGTGTAATCTACTGTACTGACCCCATTATAGTGGAAACATGTAAAATTTCCAGTTGAATCGCCAGGAATTCTACCATTTAATATATTTAGATTACAATTTTTACATAAATTTATCAACATGTTTCCATAAGAGTTGACAGTTATATCCTTATTATTACGTGGGTCATTATCATCTAAGAATCTGGTAGAGGTAAGAATCTAGAGGTATCATTTTCAATATAATCTGGCAAAATTCCAGTTCTACTGTTAAAGTCTCCTTGAATTATAACGTCACCCAATTTAGAATACTGTGTAATATTTTTTTCAAGATTATCAAAGAAATTTTGTTTAGCATATGTTGAGTTAATAGGAGGATTGTAAAGAAAACAAATATAGATATCAGTTGTGGCATTGAAGAATCTTTTCTCTAGTTTACACCATATTATGCCTTCTTCATTCATGTTTATGATTTTTATTGCTTTTTATAGTTCTTGTTTGATTATAACTGAGATTCCTCCTCTTCTTTGAGATTGTCTTATATTTGATTGTGAATAGTATCCTGGAATTTGAAGTTTATCCTTTGTACTGTTATCCAGCCAGGTTTCTCCAAGCCCAATAATGTCATGTTCAGTAATTTTGTTAATAAAATCATTGTCACCTACTTTATTACTCTACTCATTATTAAATATTGCTATCTTTTGGCCTTTGGCCATATTGTGTGCAATACTGTGATGGGTATATATTGGATGAGTAGTACCTGGGTTCATTCCATGCTGATTGTACATATATGCTTGTCTGAATATTGGTCTTTCTTCTGGTATAGGGACTCTGGTCTTCTTAACATTGGTTTGCTGATATCTATTCACTCCCAGTATTGGTGCTACTTTATATTTCATGTTTTTTACAAGTTTGGCAGTTCCATACATGTTGAGATGAATTCCATCAAGAAGAAGCTGCTCTGGACTTATATTTCCGTTATCGATGTAAATAAGATTACTTTTCCTATAACATAATGTTTTCAGTTCCTTATTTAATTTGTCAATCTCTTCATTTAAGTATGTATTTTTTGTCTTCTATTTACGATTGATGATATACATATTTTAGCATTTGGATATTTCTGTTCAGCATGTATTACAAGATCTAAGAAGTCATCCATACATGATTCTGTAGAACACCCATCACTTATGTTGTTTGTTCCTACATGTATAAAAATTACTTGTATGTCATCAGCTGTGGTACCTTGTAAATATATATCCACATCATTAATTTTCTTTCCGCGAAGAGTTTTTATCTGTGTATTTCTGTATAGCCCTTTACGGTTTATGTTTTTCAGTATTGAGTTGCCCACTATAATGGTCTGTATAGCTTGAGTTTTATATTTCTTCTTGTTTGTTGAGTCTGAAACCCATAATCTGTTGTTGTTGGCAAAGTGCAGCATTGGGATTCATTGTTGGATGACTGGAATTGTATATTTCTCTTGTATGTTTCATCAGTTTCTTTGATTTGGTTATGGAGTACCCTGTTTTGTTGTCTTAAATCCTCAATTTCTTCATTTTTCTTCATCAGTTCTTTTTGGACATAAGCCTTTTCGTTGCTTATTTGTTGAGTCATCATGTCTTTATGTTTTTTTAATTCAACATTTGTGACATCAATTTACAATAACATTGAATCAAGACATTGTTTATTCAGTAAACCAGTCTAAGTAGTGGCCTTGAAACATTACTGTTCCAGTGGTAGTGTAAACATTAATATTTATCCTTTGAAGGTTATGTTTGAATCTGAATTGTATCAATTGGTCATTTCCATTAGTTTTTGAAACTGGATTTATTTTGTCCAAAGCTTCAATTCATGCTTCACTAAAAGTTTCAGTACAATTGCATTGTTCTTCTTTGCTTCCATTTCCACACCATTTAAATCTCATAGGCGATTTAAAAGTATTTCCCCATTCCATAATTATTCTATCCTTCAAAATGACTAGTTATGCATTCTTCTATCCAGTTTTTGGTAATAACTTCTTCATCAAATTCTTCTAAATCTATTTCACTACATGAGGAGTCACTGTCAGTTTCCATGTTTTTATATTGCAAAGTACCATTGTTTCCTATCATATATTTGCTGTTTACTTTGCGTTTTTGTCTAGAAATGTTCACTTCTGGATCACTTGGTGTTACTTGTTCGCTTGCCATTTTATCTTGATTATAAATACACTTTATTCCTCACTCTGTGTAGAACAGTATGTAGTCTGTAAGAGTTTCTAGTGGACTACTTACTGTACACATGAACCCAGTACTTTCTAAGTCTTTGTCTTTGTCCAAGTCTTTGTCTTTAGCTTGTAGTCTTATGTAAACAAGGTCATGTACAGCATGGAAACACAATTCCGGTCTTATTTCCTGAATACCATATATATCTCCAAAAATGACATCAAAGGTAGAGCTTCACTATTATGTAGATGTTAGATGTGAATGATGTCCTCGTTAAAAGGTATATAGGAATAGATTTAGCTTTTTAAGTAGAGCAGATAACATGTACTGCTGACAGGAAGTCAGCCATATTACCATGTGTGAGTGCACCATGTTCTGTTTAATTGGTGTATATAGTGTTATTTGACTTTCTAACCTTAGCTCACATTTTTTAACCCAGACCTGCATAACATTATATAATTTTCACAATAAGTGTATTGTTACATGAAACTGTTTATCAATTTTGATACTCACCTCAGTTCTAGCATGTATATCAGCTCCCAAAGAAAGACATTTTTCCACTGCAGCAATACCACCATACCTACATGCATAATGTAGTGTTGTTCTGCCCT